GTTTGAGGATAAAAAGTAAAAAGACAATGCCAGTGGAACGATTGCCAATGCCGTTGTTTCTCATCCAGAATTCATTACGTGGGCAGCGGTTGTTATATCCTGTTTGGAGGAAGAGTAATCCTGAATGTTGTTGTTTAGTGTGTGTCAGCAATCTCCCCTGCGGATTCAGGGAAAGAGCTGGGAATTCTGGTGCCAGTCCAAGAATAAGAGAAGTTTCTGTGGCAAGGATGCGGGTGGGAAAAGCTCCGGAGAGGAGTCACTGAAGGACATTGGACCCACGGCTTGCCCGTCGCCGTTTGCCCCCTTGTTCTCTCTCTCTCTCTCTCTCTCTCTCTCTCTCTCACTCTCTCTCTCTGCCCAGCAATGTTGAGGATGATATTCCATTTTTGCAGATACACATACTGAATTTCAAAATAAACAATCCCACTAAACTGTCAAAAAACACTCCCTCGGGGCTCTTTCGTTGCACATTCCAAAGACACGTGGTTAGGTGTGCTCCCTGCGATGGACCAACATCCTGTCCAGGGTGCCCCCCCTCCATTGCCTCTGCTTCCTGACGCTGGCTTCCGGGCCCCCGCAACTCCCCCCATAACTCATTTTTGGCCGCTAGATCGGTAAAAACACAGGAATACAGTGAAATACCTGTAGTTACAGTGAGGTGAGCAAAATTATTGAAACACCATTTGAAAAACCAAATCACAGCTACAAACATAGCTACACCGGTGAGTCATATTAAACTGAATGCAAGTCATCAGTCTGTATTAGCTGTGGAAGAGTTCTGACAATCAACACTTTGATATGTGAGTTTTCAAAGTACAGTATCAAAGGGGCCAAAGAGTCTGAAGTTGAGGTGCATCAGCCAGAGCGACGATAAAATTATTTGATGTATCAAAGGAAACAGGTTCAAAAATCATAGACACGCTGTACTGGCAGAGAGGACTAGCAGCAACGAGTCAAAGCTCCCAGTGAGAGATGTCAGAGACTAACGCTTAACAGAATAACCACCACACACTGCAAAAGTGCAGCCTCAGAAATTACCACAGAACTGCATCAGCACCTCTGTCACCCAATCTCAACAAAAACTGGGTTTGGTGAGCTTTACAGAGCTGCGATTCATGGCAGGGCTGCTATGTAGGAGCCAGTCGTATCCAAGGTCAATGTTCAAAGATGCACAAGCTGGCACGAGAAACGCAAAACCTAAGGCCCTGATCAATGGAGAAAGTAATGCGGTCTGATGAGTCATCTCTCACCTTCCCCCTACATCTGGATGGGTTTATATTTAGAGAAAACAAGCTGCTAAGCATGGCCAGGGACCTCTTATGGTATGGACAGTCATCTCATAGGAGTTAATAGGTCCAATGATTTCTCTGCATGGTTATACAACTGCCAAGGAATATAAAGACATTTCAGAGGACCAGGTGCACCCCATGGCGCAAACACTGTCCCCTCGTGGTGCTACCATTTTCAAGCATGATAATATTCCCAAAATGCACTGCTAAACAAATTCAGGCAGATCCCTGAACACAAGGCCGATGTCGAACACCTTCCATGGCCGCCCCAACCACCGCATCTAAGTCTCATTGAATCTCTATAGAAGGTTCTGGAACATATATATAGCTCATTCCTGGAGGCCGTTATACTTTGGTCCAATATCCCACCTCACACAGTGTAAGACAATTATCCAAGGACTGATGCTATTCTTAATATAGTTGATATAATATTGTTATTTTGTCTCATTATTTTAAATACACACATAAATATTATATTTATCCATCCATTTCTGGAACTGCTTTTCCTATTCAGGGTCACGGGGGGGTCCAGAGCCCATCCCAGAGGCTATGGGTGCATGAGAGGGAACAACCCAGGATGGGGCATCAATGCATTGCAGGGCACACTCACACACACACTCACACACACACTCACACACACTCACACTCACACACACACTCACACACACACTCACACACACACACACACACACACACACACACTCACACTCACACACACACACTCACACACACACCATTCACTCAACTCCAATTACCCTCAGCATGTGTTCGGACTGTAGAGGGAAACCAGAGTGTGTTCCTTATATTTGTTATATTCTAATAAAGAGTGATAACTGCATTATGAAGCTTAAGGGGAATCTAAAGACCGAATGCTTTGTGGGGACTCCAGTGCTCCCTGTCCTACACCTATGAACTCACTTACTGCAGAAAAGTAGTTTTTCAACCAGTCCTGGGTAACTGCAGCCCCCACTGACTTCTGCTTGACCTCTTAATTCATGTTAGACTTGGTTACACAATGCAGCAACAGCTCATTTACATTAGAGTAGCTTATTATCGGTATAATATAGACTGTGAAAAGAAGTCATATGTGTCACCTTGATTTGGTTCAAACAATGGTAAGACTGCCCTTTCAACTTAATTAGGATAATTTTACCATTCACTTGGTTAATTATACAAAAAATTTAAATTAAATAATCCAGTCAATAAAAGAAATAATCATCGTAATTTACAGTTTATTGCTATACTAAGAGCAAGACGCACTAACTAAAAATCTGCAATGTCAAGATACGTGAAGAATTAGAAATGAAATTAGCATTAATCAAACCTAGCAGCATAAAAGTTTTAAAATAATATCATATACATCCCTGACCTTAAGTGTCCCTCTCATCCCACTGTGATATTCAGGAAAATATGACAATTCTTTTAAAAACACAGATTCGACAGATTTGATAAAATGACAGATAGGAGCCAGACATATCAGCAAATATTGCAACAGCTGTTGAAAAATTACAAATTTGTTCTGCCAGTGCTGCATGTGGGCTATTTCTACAGTAGAGAAGGAAAAAATATGAAATATCATAACAATGTAATGTCTAACTGCGATGCACTGCAGGCTTACAAAGACAGCTCAATTTATACAAACAAGAAATGTATGTTGGACGAAACGTGACTTCAAATAAATAAATAAATCAGCCATTACATTTGTCTTTGACATGAACCAAAAAATTAATTGTTGGTAGAAATAAACAAATAAATCCATTGCCAAAAACCAATCAATCAATAAACAAATCTGTAGAATTAATGAATAAATAAGACTTATTTATACCAATGCTTGATTGATTGATTGATTGATCTCCAGATTTATTTACGTATTTCCTCATTTGCTTGTTGATGTTGGCAGCCCTAACCTTTTTCCAAAGCACTGTTGGTCAGGTGGACTGTACTGATCTGGGCTCCATTACCTTGGCCTTGCCAGGGTGTAAAGAAGTGTTGGCTGGCATTCTTGATTTAGGTTTTATTTATTTATGTTTGTTTATTTATACCAAAAATCTATTTATGCCTAAGATTTATTTATTTATAAAGTCTTGTTTCTTCCTCCATAAAAATGTGAAACGATTTATTTAACCTGTAAAAAGTACATTTTCACAAAGTTGTGTGGCGCTCACTTTCTGAATCACTGAAACGTAATCAAAACGATAGACACCATGTGTAAAAGGCGGGAAAACTATTTAGTCGAGTTTCATTTTATGTTAAAATTAACCCGCAAAGTGGAACCGTGCTTAAATCTGGCATTGTACCGAGACCACGTTCCGTGTTATGACGCAACCTCAGGCCTACACATCGACGCAGGTGCTGTTTGTGCAAATCAGGAAAGCGCACCTGTGAACTACCGACTTTTTTTTTTTTTTTTTTACTTATGAGGTGGTTTATGGTCGTATTTGCTTGCTTTTTTATTTTCTGGCAAGTTGTTTCTTCGTAATCTGGAGTCTAGATGGAAATGGACAGTGGATCAGCCGCAAAGATTAGGGTGAATAGCAGGTAATCCTCGCCAGTAGCCGAAATACAGCAAACCATTATCTTTTCTGTTTTTTTTTTGCGCTAAATTGAGCATCTTTTCTACGTAATTATCTAACAGCCTAAAATTCATTTTTTAAAATAAGTTATAATCCAGCTGGGGAATGGGAACAATGAGCCAATTTTCAGGGTATAAAAAGGTATAACGGAATGCCGCTTTGTCCCCTCCTATTGGAATTGTAATATCCTGCGAGTGTCTTGCGGAAGTTAATCCACTTGTTCTGCGCTTCGCATGCAGGCATGTCGTCCTACACATAGCTCACTCACCAGAAGTCCCTACAGTGCGCTTCTGAGCATGGTGATAATTCACGCAAAAGACTAACAGCGGAGTTGTGAAGTGTTTATTTGCTGGAGTGTTATCTCTTTCGCCATTAAACAGCGTTTGGGCTTTCGTGAAACATCTGAAAACGGGATGATGAACAAAATGAGCAATGTCCCACCACCCCCGTTTTCGTTTACAGAAACAACGAAACGTCTTAAAGTTCTCCAGGATTCACAGACACGATGACGCTCTTCTGCCTTGGACCCCTCTTGTTTCTGTAGGTAACAGATCGTTTCCTCGGTAATTCCCGTACTTTTCATATTTAAAGGAAAAAAGCTAAAGGGGGACATAACGGATCTGGAACAAAACGCGTGCTTGACACTCAAGTTCTTTGCTTTGTACGTTTAAATGATAACATTTCATTTTCAAAAAACAGACTTTATGATTACATTAATACCCTAATTAGAAAAGCTCCCATTCTCATGTTGGGAACGTATGCCTATTTTTCTTTACTGATTTTGCTTTTAATATTGGTAACAGAAATTTACATAGCATATTAGATTCTGCGTTTGCTTGCTAGTTTTCCATTCTTTTTTTTGAATTTCACTTGCCTTCCCTATGTTACAAGTTGTTCATTAACGTGGCACCTTATTGCACTCAGTACTCAGATATGTTAGTTTAGATCAGCCAATTGATATCTGAGCAGTATGAAATCATATGAATCCCAATGATACGTGGGTCTAATTTATAAAACAATCTCACACTCATATTTAGCTTGCTTTTAAAGTAAGCCAATATAAACTTGTTAATAATCTGTATATAGATTACATTAAACGGTCATGAAATATATATATATATATATATATATATATATATATATATATATATATATATATATATATATATATATATATATATTAATTTAGGTAAAATATTAACAAATAGTAATGAAAGTTTTCATTACATCTCCTGCAGTTTGATGGCACTGCCCCCGCTGGTGAGTTTTAGCATTGCAGCTACCACGAGGGTGCATCCCTCCACCGCCCTTCCGCGGAACCAGCATTACAGACACCGGGGAATGGTATCTGGTGTGAAGGGGAGCTGGGGTGTAAAAAAATGCGTGGAGGACAGCATTCCTCCACGTTGCTGTGCTGGGAGCCATGCAGGGACGGCATTAAACAAAGACGCTGAGCTCGCCAATAGCCATGTGTCTGATCCCACCTAGAGCGATGCATTTGTTCTCGCAGTCCTCTGCTCTCTCGTTGATCGTCCACCTCGGAGACGGCTGGGCCTGTACCAGCGAGGCCTTCGGCATATTGGAGAATGAATAAAGGATGATTTTTTTAAAAGAAAGAAGAATTTTCTATGCTTTTGTTAATTTTATTTTTCACAGAAATAATGCAAAGGCGAATGAAAGGTTTATATAGTTAAAAAAAAACATGTATATACACATGCACTCAAGAAAAATGTAGATTTCTGGGATGGGGACCATAGGCACCTCATTCTTTGCTTTTTTTCTCTCTCAACGCGCCTTAAAAATCAACAAATCCATTTGTTCAGCAGCTGCAACTCTGTGTTAAGCTGATAACGACCTGGGCCAGCCAGGCTTTTGCTGCAAGTCAAGGCTGATAGGCCTGAATCTGTTGGCTTTTTTTTCTTCGTCCTCATTTTTTAAAAATTCAATGCTAATGAACAAGGAACGTTTTCAGAAGCCATAATGCTTCTTGTAGATCTGTCGGCTGCTATTATGACAGATGTTTCCTTGAAAGTGCTCACGACACTTGTTTTCCGTGTCTTATCTCGTGCTCCGCAGAATGCCTGCACCGAACATGATGCGATGTTTCTCCTCTTTTTTATTTTCACCGTAGCCACCGGACGGAAACAAACAGGGGAGCTGAGCAAAGGGAGAGAGTCCTGTCCAAAAAAAAAAAACACACTCGGAGGGGGAGGGAGCAGCTTTTCCTTCCTTCCTTTGCAGCCAGTTCAGTCAACCGCATTTTTTCTGATGCTCTTTGGAGAGCTTTGGCGTGTTTGCAGCCGATCAGCGGTGTATATATACATATACATATCGTTATTTATATATACGTCGTTATTTTTTATTATGACGACGCCACGAGCCGCGGTGTCCGTGCGCGGCCACGGTACCGCGAATGCCGCTCGGGGGGGAGATACGCTTGACTGTGATCAAGCGGCTCCGGACACCAGGACGCGTGGGTACCGTGACACGAGCTGCAAGGGGTCGCGCCGTTTAACGGCTCCGTGAAGCCGCGGCTCCCCGCGGCTCTTTTAAGATGATAATGATGGTGTATGTTTTTTTATGAAATGAAACCAGTTCGTGTCATTCGGGATCATTTGGCAATCAAGGTTTCTTCTCAGCGAGGGTCTCTAAACCATCTGCTTGCTTAAGCTTTTTTGAGTTTAAGTTGCCTGATTTGCCATGATGAGACCAGTTTTCTAGGTATCATACCCTCATGTATCAAAAAATGGAATATTTTTAATGAGACGATTTTTTAATGTAGTATAGTCAATGCAGTAATAATTGCTATTAGCCTATATAAATATTTAGGCCCCATCTCCAACACATTCAGATGTTTTCATTTGTCTACTGTGTATATTGAAAAGGTTTAATAGCGAGCAGCAACTTCAATTAAAAAACAATTATTGACGTGGCACCCACATAACGTGTCCCCCTACGCTTGTGAACGCCGGCCGTTTCTAATTATGGGTGATAGTCAGATTCACACAGGCATGATTTCTTTTGGAATAATACGAACAACGTTGTAAAGGTCTTTGGTATAAGTAAACCTATACGAAATATACATTGAAATACACAAAAAAACCTACCCATCCACCTTCCAAAACACACAAAAAGTAATAAAATATGCAGATCAATTTTTAAAGTTTTTGAAGTGGGGAATTCATATTAATAGCAACATTTTTTGCGTAAACAAATAAGGATAAAAGTAAAACGAGGTATTAACAGGCCTATGTAACATCATATTTATTAAAGAAAGAAAATCCGAAACGAGTATTTGCCCTTGCAGAATACTAAATGGATACAGGTGAATTACTTCCGTTTGTGCAGTGGCTGTCACATCAAATCAGTGTGGCGATAAAGAATATTTTGTTGTTAATGACCACTTCGGGAGCCACTTTGTGCTGATCGTAAGTTATTTATATTTGCATTGTTAAATCCCCATTGAAACGACACAAGTACGGTCGCAACTGGCGTGGAGCAATCAGGACAAGGCTATTAAAGTGAAAGAGGTTAAAAGGGAATGGGATTCTGAGTGGACCAACAAGTGTTTTTTCCAGTGCTGGTACATTAGATTGTTGGTTTTAGCCTTGCAACTCCAGAATATACTGTGCAAAATTAACACTCGGGGAACGGAGGTGAAAGCGAGCGCCATGTCCTGATTGGCTGCTCAGTGCGCACCTCCTGTGCACCTGCGGGGCACCCGCGTGCTGCCAGCAGTAGAAAATGCCCCTGTCCTCCATTTGGCAGTGGTCTGCCTGTGTGGTTCCTTGTGGTCTGTCTTGTGCAAAGACATTAAAGACTTTACCTACAATTTATTATCAAGGGATGATTAATAGTTGCAGGCGTTGAGACTGGAGAATGGGATGATTTTTTTTTAAATTTTGTTTAGACTCTGAAACAAGTTTCACACTAGTGTGTTTATAATAATTTTGTCTAAATCATTCAATTTGTAGAGTAATGTAAAGTTACTTGCTGCAAGAGAAAGGTGTATAAAAGGCTTTACATGAGGCTTCGTAGAGGCACAGTAAAATCCAGTCAACATTTTGACAGTTTCAAACAGCTTCTCAGCAATCAGTGATTAATGAGGCTCCCTGGAACACAGTGAGGGAGAGGGGGGGGCGATAAACGGCTGAATCGAGCTTCCTCCCGGCACGTGCGTGCGCGGCAGTGCACACAAAAACGACATCGTGCACGTGTCCTTTGAATGTCCACTCTCGGAGAGGGGGAACGGCCAGAGGCGACAGCAGATGGGGTCTGTGTTCCGCACAACGCCGCCTGAGCAGCCACCGGCTCCGTGACGTCGGATGTGCGTTGTGACTCATTTGGTATGGGATTATAAAACCACCCGCAGTTAGCCCCATCGCGCGGACAGAAAGCCGCGCAATTTAACGCGCCCCGCCCACGTCCGCATAAATAGCCCTTTTATTGTAATTCGTGTTATCGTCCACAGTGCAGGTGTTCCCCGTGAGAAAAGGAAAAAAACAGCACCAGATAATGTCAGTCTTCACCTTGTCCAAAACATTTTTTACCTTTTCATATGGGTTCGTATGAATTAAATTCCTGTCATAGGTTGTAAGTCTACTTGTGTTTGCCCAAGGCGTTAAGCAACATGATATTCCAGACATGGCAATAATGTTATGCACTGAGAACAGAAGAAATGCAGCCAAATTCGTTATGGGAGGTGGGTGGGTGGTACTTCTGGGTTCATATTACCAGACTCAGATGTGGGGGGTCTTTGATGGGTCATCTCTGTGACTGCCTTGGACATAAAGGTATTAACGGCTGCCGCTGCTACTGTATCCTCCTGGGCCACCGTTCAAAACGCCTCTTTCCTGCTTTATTCTTCTTGCGAACGCTGCCACGCGTTTACGTGCAGCCCCCAAGGAAGATGTAATACGAAACACAAATGAGGCCTGTAGTTCCCTCCTGTGGTCCTACTTTAACAATGAGCGTTCAAAGCTAGAGGGCTTTTGCAAGACATATTGATTAAGCATGAAGCAGATTAATTTTTAGAAACTTACTGTGCCTACCTTTGTGATAATAAATTGGTACATATGACACCCAGTGTTGGGAGGGTGGAAAATCTAGTATGGAAATACAGTTTGGAAACCCCATTGTCTGATGAAAAAAGTCAAGATTTTTGGAAATATATAGACTGACATAAGTAGCCGAGTCTCTACATTAGGCTCCTGTGAAAGATCTAAAAACTAAACTCATCTGAACACTTGATATTTATTGATGGAAAAATTTTAGTCAGGAGTTGGATCTATGGTTTGGCCATGCCCCCCCCCCATCAAATATGAGGCCACCCCAGTTGCCACCCCTCACCAAAACATAAAAATGAAATATGGAGCATTTAATTCTGTAAAGCAGAGCTGTCCAACCCGCCGATCAGACGACGACGGCGTGTCTCCAACTCCGCCTCAAATTAATGGATAAACCTAGCGATCGGCAAAATGCACCCCCCTCCCGGTCAGCAAGATATACCAAGGGAGACCCCCCCGTTCAACAAAATATTACCCCATTGCCAACTCAGTAAAATCATTGGGTCTAATCTGGCCACCCCATTGTACAAGGTCTGGCTATGTCCCTGTTTCTAGTTAATATCTTTTCACTCACAAGTTACTCAAAGTTTAATTAAAAATAAAAATGCTTTACTACTGCAGAGTTATTAGTAATTAAAATGGGTAAGTTTTTTTGCTTTGGAGCGCAGTCACCAGTCACGCTTTTGGGTAGCAGCATTGGTTTTTAAACAGACTCTTTTTTTCGGTTTTATTTTTGAACTCGTCATTAGTGGAGGAAGTGTCTGGCTGGTATTCTCACAAATCCTCCGCTGTCTAGTGATGCATGAGATGGGGCCACCTGGCTGAGATGGGGCACAATCCAGGAGCTGGAGCTCCAGCAGCTGACTAGCTACGGATAGTAGCGTACTGATTGGCCACGCTTTGTTTTTTCAACCCGCTTTATATTTTTTATTTCATAAAGAATAAATGCAAATCAGCCCTTGACGCGCTAATGCATAGTAGGAGGGGTTGTGGTCTCAGTAGAGGCGAGGGTATGATGGGGGGAAATACTGAACTGTTTTTTCGTCAACAGTAACATGTGCGCACGTCGTCAAAGTGCATTGCCCGCTTTAAAATGCCGCTCAGCAAAGGTTTGTTGTCAAATGTGATTTGGATTATATGTAACGTAGCTACACCCTGGAATCTCACTCAACAAGTGCACAGATGTGTCTGCTTGCATATGTGGGCATATTTTAATGTTTAAATATAGAGGTTGCCTTAATAAAGGGTAAAACCAATTTGCTGCAGAATTTCGCCAATTTACAGCAGTATTTCCTAAAGGACATTTATCCAACTGCAATATTATGCCTCTAATGAAATGTTGCCCTTGTGAGACTCTAAATACCTTTCCCAGAAAACAAAGAATATTCAGGCTGACAGAGAACATAGTGATTTTATGCTACAGCAGATGCTCTCATCTTAGCCTTACTTGTTCTTATAGAAACACTATGTTTAACACTGTTAGTCTTCTTGTTTTATTTCTGTAAATGTGGGTAGAGATAATAATTGGAAAACATATTTAAGGGTGATACATACATAAGTCTAAGTATATAAGTATCCTATTTGCAGCCAACATACTCTAAACATATCCCAGCTAAAACAGCCCGTATAAGTGTGAATAATGACGTACAAGCAGAAACTGCCCCACAATAAAGCCATTAGAGGGAAATATGGTTGGGTTAACAGGCATAACAGACTGTAGATAAGCTGCCTGCCGTGGCATTTCAGATATTTTAACCAGATGGCTTTGTGATGGCCTGCTTGCCTGTAGTACCCCTGGGGCACGTACTACTGGCCAGTGTCGTCTTATAAACACAGCAAAGCACTTAAATCACAATAAGCATTGTCTGCGGGACAAATTGGTGATTACTAAATGAAAAACGCACCATCTCAAGGTTTATGAGATTTGAGAATATAATTAAAACCATAAGTACTCCTACAAGTTGCCCGAGTCTACCGCAGTGTGGGAGTTTAATAATTGCTTTGCCGAAGTATAAGTCGTGAGTTTGGAAAAATAGAAGAAAACACCAAGGTTGCATAATAAAACATAAAATTAGCTGGATTTAAAATATGCTGTAGGGAAATTGTGTCATTTTGCACTAGAGGCAGATATTGACTGAATTTTACCTATGTATGATTTACTGTATTTCCAGTTATTATATGAAGTATTTTCTATATAATTTTATATAAAGAAGCAAGATTAAAGACATGTGATAAAAACAATAAATGAAGTACTGTTCTAAAATACGTATACATATTTCTTTTTTTTCCCCCATTGCTCTGTTTCACTGAGACCTTTGTGCGCGCTCCCGAGTCCCCTCACAACATTCGCTCGCTCTCACGCTCGCTGACGGAGAGTTCAAAGGTCACGCCGAGTCCGCAGCGAGGCTTCGGCACTCTGGTCACGTGTTCAATCAGCTGTTTCCTCCCGACGTCCGCCTGACTGGGGAGTGTTTACATTCAGTGTAATCCCGAAGCGGTAGCCGAGGGACCGCATGAATTACCAAGGTAAAGACGACATACGCCTAAAAAGCGGAGGGACTGAGGGAACAACGGTGCTAGTGCGGACGCTGCTTGTTCGCTGTTAGTGGACGCGCATGTATCGCTTTTTAAACGTGTTTTCGTGTGGGGAGCGTGAGGGCCTGGGAAGTCGGCGGATTCTCTTCCTGGTTTTACTGTATGCTTAGCGAAAGGGCTGCAGAGGCAGAAAGGTGACGTGATAGCGGTTTAAAACGCATTCACGCAAATCTCTCTCCAAAGTCCTGTTTTTTTTAAAAAACATCAAGTGTACAGACAGGAACGGTTTGTTTACGGATTAAAATACATTTAAGATAGCGTTTTTAACGCTTTGGGTATAATATCATTACAGGCTATTTAGCTGTATGCTAGGCAAGGATGCGAGTGTAATATATATTACATGGTTCTTACTGAGTATGTAAGGTAATAACTTTTTATTTTGTGTAATTAGTCTTCCAGTGTTAGCCTTCTAGTGTTTACAGAGACCTTTGGAGGATTGTGCTCTAGTTTTGTCCTACATGTTCACACAAAAAAACCGAGCATTTTTCAAGCCGCCTTTTAAAATAAGAATTTTAAATATGAATCAAGTGTGATTTGATTTTATTAGGCAGGACGGTGTGATTTTCGTTTTGATGTATAATGTCATTCAGCTACTATAAAAGTGTAAAACCTTTCTTCCCAGTGACTGGGTATTACTTCACTAGTTGTTAAATAAACATAGTCTCAGATGGCAAAATATTTCTCATTCCCAAATACTTAGTTAAGTAACTGACTAATTTTGGTGAGTGCCTCTCACAGATTACACCCTGGAGCAGAATCATATTGCTTTTGGCCTTCTGAATTCTTACAACATTGTCAGCTTAGGCCTCAAGATTTTACAAGGACTCCTTGAATAGTTTAGAAAAGGGTAACTTGCTATGCATCCTGTCATATATTTTATAATTTTGGATTCGATTTAAAAAACTGAATGCAAACTATGCCAGAATACCTGCAGTGAAGTGCAGGTCCCCCCGCCCCCCCATGTGACTCTGTCCTGAATCTCTCTGATTGGCTGGGGAAGGGAGGACATGTGACATTGCTTGAAGGCTTTTTGAACATTGCGTTGTTGTGTAATGACCTACGTACTGAAGTCATTTTTTTTTAGCTTTTCCCTTAAAGCTTTTAAGATACAGACCATTTCTTGTTCCGTAAAGGCTTCACTTTTCAAAGAGCATCATATGACTGGACTTTGAAGGGATGCATATTTAGCCAGTGCATTACAGTAGGCTGCTCAGCAGTGGGGTTTTGCGACATATCGTTCTACACATTTTAAATACATTATTCACCTTATCCCCTGACACAGTAGATGAAGTGACATGCCAGGTAAAGGTGGGATTAAGGTGTGAGAGAAAAACCCTGACAAAGCAAAAAGGTAAATCCATTACATTTAAATTGAAGATACTCCTACTTTGTAAACTTTAGAGATGTCACTTTATGATTTTTTTCCCCCCTCTTGTGCCAGACCCTGTCATGGCACAGCAGAGATGGATGTTGACCTTTGTTACTCCGCCCTGTAACTGGCCGCTTTATTTTACTGGCTGTGCACTGGACAAAAGCCTCTGTGTTTCTGTGCTGGTCGTTCCCTACCAGCTACTTTGGCTCCTTTTTCCATTGCCGGCCTGTTCGCCTTTACAGTTTTGCTCGTCAGATACTGTGTTTCATGGTAGGAGCTGGCAGTTTACAATTGCATTTGAAGTTAATAGTAATAATTCCAGCCTGTGTTTTTGATGTTGGGACAGGGGCCCCCTGAAAAGGGAGCCACTGCACTGTGTATTTTCCGGTCTCTCTTCCCCTGAAGTTGCATGCATATATGCTTGAACACTCATCTGAATGTCTTCAATGCCATGTGAAAAGTCAGTCACAAAATTACAATTTACTTTGGACAGAGCTAACATTAGGATGGTAAAATGACTTCTAAGCAGCCGCATTGTTTCTCTTTCTGAGCTGCTTCTCAATAGCGCACAACACAGGCCTTAATTCTAGGTTGGTGATAAAAAATTTATAGAAATGACCAGCCCTACATGCTGCTGTTCATGAAAGCATGTTTGAGTCAATCAATATATTAGGTGGGAAGCTATACCCCGTATCTTCTGCTAATTGAATTCCTTCTCCTCTGTATGTGTTAATGATTTACATGGTTAGCCTCGTCTGATTAATTGCTGGTGTTGTAATTCTTAGGATGAATACATACATTGTAAAATGGTAAGACTAATCTGCCAAATGGGACTTTTGTAGAAAAAGTGGAGATGCATTGTATCCATCCATCCATCCATCCATCTTCTGTAATCGCTTGTCCTATTCAGGGTCGTGGGGGGTCCAGAGCCTATCCCGGAGGCTGTGGGCACAAGGGGGGGAACAATCCAGGATGGGGCTATACCCATTCAAAAAAAAAAAAAAAAAAGTAAAACAAGCAGTCGTGATGATGATGATTATAATTATTATCATCTGTCGAGGCCTTGTCTTAAGGTGCCTTAATGTCACAGTGTTACACATGTTATTAATCTTTCTTTATTTATGGAGAAATAATATTCCCATTATGATGTTTTCATTCCAGAAGTGCTTCTCTGCTCTTTAACCTTCACCAAGATGTTGCCTCCCTGACTGATAACATTAGTTGTACTCAAAATGCTCAAAGCATTTTGCTTCAGGATTTTAGCTGTATTTGTCCTTGAGCAATTAGCCTGTGAAATTTTCGTTTGTTGGGGAAGACCCTAGGTCATATGTTTTAAATGATTTAGCTGTTAAAACAAATACCTTTGTGAATTTCAAACATGGCACATTTTAGCAGCCAATAACGTAATAACTACCAATAACATAATAACTACCAATAATTTAATAACATGCCAATAACATAATAAATTTCTCCATTCTTAATGTAATTAAAGTCAATAATAACTGGCCAATAATGCAATAACTTACATTATTGGCAAAAAAGTTATTGCATTGTTGGTTCAGAAAATGTATTAGATTATTGGCCAGTTATTGCATTATTGACTTACATTAAGAATGGAAAAATTATATTATTGGCAGTTATTACATTATTGGCTTCTATACAACATATGTGTGGGGGCTTTATATGACTCAGTCTCCTCATGAAACCTCAGCGTCTTCCGTTCATAAGTTGACTTGAAGAACGTGTTTTCCTGTGGTATCGGAAAGCCTACGTTGTTACTGTCTGTGTAGTATCTATATATTCTCATGTAGTATCAGAGATGGCCACTTTGGGCCTGTACCTAGGTTAGCATGTTCTTCAGCTGAATCTAGGCCTCTGCTTGTTATAACAATGGTAAAACTGAGGAGGATTAAACAAAAGTATTTTAATATGGCTTAAACTAGTTCATTATGAGTTGCAGTTGTTTTCGATTTAGGTCCCCGGGGAATGCTCATCAGTTAAATGAATTCATACATCTAGAAAATGTTTCTGTATAGACAAGCTTTTGATTTACAGGCTGAATTTTAAAACATGAGCCCATATGTTTTTTGTCTCTCTTAATGCAGGAAGTTTAAAGGAAAGCATCTTTTAAAGAGCTATTGGTTCAGGATTGAGAAAGGATGAGGGTTCCACTGTGTAGCAGCTGGTGCGAGAGTCATCACAGAGAAATGGCCTGAAGTTTGCTTGTATATCACTGGAAAAGCGCAACAGTCACTTAAATTTAGTGGTTAGTCGCTCACATTTTGCTGTTGGATTAGCCGCATACTGTCTGACTTTCCCCTTTATGTTTGGTTTTACACACGTCCATCTTTTTTGAAATGGGTTAAATCATGAGGATCTTTTAATTTTTATTGCAGTGCTGGGATATAATTTCATTTTTCAGTTTATGATCGTGTCTTCCTAATTCTAAGTTATTACAGCATGAGTGTAATTTCACTTGGCCTTAGAGGACTCCGTTGTGGTCTCTCATGATTTAACTGATAAAAAGCCAAAGTTGCAATACTTATTTGTTTATTAAAGAATCCTAGGTGGGGTCATTTACCTTGTTAATATTTGCAAAGATAAATGAAGCATGCTTTTAAAAAAAATGGTAATTGAAGGATGTGGTGTCTCTGTTTTGGATGAAGTTCTCTATTTTGTGTGTAGTTCTCCTTGTAGCCCAATCTGTGCATCCCTTAGAGGACTGTGTTGAATCTGTAATTTTATTTTCGCAATTCAGGTTTGAAGTTGATCAAAGATATTGCAGAAATATGTGTGTTACCCAGGGAATTGGTTTAGGCAGTCCTCTTCGGTTGGGTTACAAAATGGCAATAAGAAACTGGCAGTTACAGGGCTGGCTAATGAATGCCTGGTATTTACAGCTGTAGATGTTGCTTGTCATTACTGCATCAAATTCAGATATATGACAGTGTTTCATACCACGATCAGATCGCAAGCCTCTACTCTTGTCTCATGCAATGAAAAATATGGCAAGCTGAATGGGAGAAAACTATCAGTAACAAACTTTACCAAAGCAGTCCAATTCTTGGAAAGATGGTGAAAGTAACTTAAAAAATTGTTGAGGCCAGGTCATCTACCTGAGGTGTTGTATAGGGCATACCATGCTGACTCGTGTTTTTACTTGTAGATGAAGATTTGCCTGTATGCCCTACATGTAACACTCCTTTAATTGTTAAACACGTTTCGTTGTATTGTCCTTCTTTTAACTCCTTTAAGCAGAGACATTTACTGACTCTTTAAAAGAGATTTTTGGTAAAATTCCGTAAAATGCTTTTTTGGATTGTTTTTATTGAAGGCTAATATTGGGCTTCTTATTTAGATCATTTTAACAATTTGTAGCGTTTTATTGCTATGTAGTTTTTACTTTTGTGGTTCTTCGCTCTGTTTTAATACCCTTATACTCTCGCCATGAATATGTCCTCCTTGCTGTCATAGTGTTAACAATCAGCATAATCCTTCAGTCTTGTCATTACTGAAAGCTATTTACAATGTTCTGCTTTCTCACATTTTAAAATATTTC